ACAAAGATACACACTTTGGCCTTTCATCAAGAACGTTCAAAATTACAATTCTTAACATACACTTTCCTTGGATTATAAACTTTATCTATGTTATCCCTTCACTAGAAATTACAAAAGAAAAGAAACTAAAGTTATTAAAACAATAACATCTTAAACTAAGCTAGTTATGCCCCGATGTCACATCCTATCAGAGCATGCCCAACTGAAGCCTTAAGCCTCATCAACAACATCCTCATGATGATGATCACCTGCAACATAATTTAAACATATACAAGAGCAACAAGGGAGTGAGAAACATTTCACTCGAATTCATATGTAGAAATAAATGTTAGGCAACACACACACAGACATAACAAATACCATACAAATTACACATAACTAATCATAACTCTCAAGTTATAAATATATTAGAATACATATACATTCAATTATCATGCAATAATGCCATAGACTCGACTCATAAATGCATGCATGTGGCGCCATACGAAAGTTTACATTTCTTATCACTGGTATGCTACACAGCAACATACCTGGGCACTTTCATTCATGAATACATCACTGGTGACCCTCAGGCATACCTTGTTAGCTTGTTACATCACTAGTGACCCTAAGGCACAACTTGTTAGCTTGTTACATCATTGGTGACCCTAAGGTACACCTTGTTAGCTTGTTACATCACTAGTGACCCTAAGGTACACCTTGTTAGCTTGTTACATCACTGGTGACCCTAAGGTACACCTAAAATATCTTAGTACATCACTGGTATGCGACATAAGCAACACACCTGGAGTTATATATGCATATGATGCATGTCATACATTCATTATTTTATTGACTCAACATTCAACTTACTACAGAATTTCATTTAATACCTCATGTCATCATTTTTCATATTCTCATAATCATAGCTTATCTCAATAGTCCATTCTTATGTCTCATGTCATTTGTTCATATTTTACATAATAATGTCATAATTATTCCTCATAGGGTTCGTACAGGAATCCATAAAGCATATATATATATATATATCACATTTGAAAAACGATTATTGCTGTGCCTCGGTTCAGGCAACCTTTTCCATACATTGAGTGCAGAGAGACAAACTAAAACTTTGTCCAATTCTAACCAAATTATCTTCAACTATATCTATCCACAACACTCAATTGTTCCTAGTACAACGAGTGCTATTATGGGGTTATATGGTTTGATTTTTGGGGTCATTTTTGTGTGTCCATGGCTCTGTTTGGCCAGTGGAGTTGAGTCCAATTTGGAAGGGCCAAGAAATGAAATTGGTTGCAACATTTACGATGGAAAGTGGGTGTTCGATGATTCATATCCTCTTTATGACTCTTCAAATTGCCCTCACATTCGTCAAGAGTTTGATTGCTTGGGATTTCGTCGTCCTGATAAGCAATACCTCAAATACAGATGGCAACCCAACCAATGCAACTTACCAAGGTACCAATTATGCTTCCTAAGTTCTTCAATTTCCCTTGCTTTTCGCACATCAATTCTTTTGTGTTTAGTTTCTTCTAATTTGCCTTAGTTTTCATACATATCAATTCATTTGTAAATATGGGTATTGGTTTTTTCATGTTAATTTGCCTTGGTTTTCATACATACCAATTCATTTGTAAATATGGGTGTTTGTTTTTTCATGTTAATTTGCCTTGGTTTTCATACATATCAATTCGTTTGTAAACATGGGTATTGGTTTTTTCATGTTAATTTGCCTTGGTTTTCATACATATCAATTTGTTTGTAAACATGGGTATTGGTGAGAGAATCGTATACGACATGGACATTCATGAAAAACACAGTTCGCATAATGAGTTTCACACGAGGATAATGATTGATTCTCATTGATACGGACATGGAAGGGACATAAATATTTTTCACCCTTTTAATGTACAGATATTGAATAAAAGTAAATACGTTTATCTTTAAAAATATTAATAACTTTTTATTAATGACTTTAGAGTACCATTATTTGAAAGTTAAAAAAACTTCTTAATTTCATCCGATTCTGAATATATAGGGGAAAGATCACCTTTTTCTCTATTAAATATAAGTAAAATTTAATTAATTTTACTTCATTTTAATTTTTCTTAATATATTCTTTATTTAATTAAAATTGTATTTCAATAACCCTTTTTATTCTTGATTTTAATTTCTGATGAAGGGTAATTTAAGAAAATGTCATTTTTCGAATGAAATTAGTAAAATCAAATTATTAGTTAGTGGATTTTTTGTTTCTTTTTGTATGTATTTGATCCTGGAAGGACTAATATTTTACGTCATACTCACTTTAGTGCTTTTTATAAAATTCAATTAACTTATTCATCATCAATGTTAAAAATAATGTTTTCATTGGTGAATAAAATTTATTAGAAATCATAATTTTTGTGGCTCTTGTGTTTTATTTAAAGAGTCTCTCTTGATTCAATAATAAAACTCATCAAAATTTATAATTTTCAATTAATAACAAAAAGAATATTAGTAAAAAAGGTGTTAAAATAATATTTCTCTGATTAAAGTAATTCGCTAATTAGTAACATTAAATTTGTCTTAAATTTACACATTCATTTCAAAATTACGCTTAACATTAATGAAATATATATTTTTATTTTTTTCAAATATTTAATTCTTTTAATGTCTCATAAATAATATATTTAATGTCTTGACTTTTATTGATCATGTAAAAGGACAAAATAAGAGCCGAAGACATTAATTTATCTTTCCTACTTCATCCGTCTCATAAAAAATATCACATTTGAAGAAAAGCGAAATCCTAAAATAGGTGTTATTTTAATTTTTTAATACAATATTAATTTTTTTTTCATTTGTAAAATTGAGAAAAAGTTGTGTGGTGTTGTGTTTAGTGAAAAAATATTATAATAAAACTAGTTTTATAAAATTATTATTTTATTTATTCTATTTTTTTTAATCTGTGTAAATAATATAAGACAGCACACATTATAGGACGGAAAAAAGTAATATTATCAATATTGAAAAAATAGACTCATTATTAAGAGTGATTTTGTGAGAATATAATTATTGCAAAAATGTTCTAAATAGGTTCTGATAAAACTTACGCCAAAAAATCCAGCGAGTATATATTACACAAATAATTTTCTTTCTTATAACGTACAGGCATTGAATAAAGAATAAATACATTTAACTTAAGGTATTAAATACTTTCAATCAATGATTTTAGAGTATTTATTATTTGAATTTTGAAATTTTAATATTTAATGTAACATTGTATATAATTTAATAATTATTTTATTTATTATTAAATAATATTATATGCATTGAAGAAATTTAATTAATATTTTCCCTTAGTGATACCCAGTAAATATATATTTGTGAGTGTGTGTGACAAAGAGAGAGAGATATTTCATGTATGTTTAGAAAAATTAATTAATTAATTAATTAACTCTTATATATTAAACACAAATTTTAATTTTGTATGAGAGAGTTTTTAAGAATTTTTTTAAATAAGAGAATTTGTAGGAAAATTTTTAACTTATCTAATTCAATATCATAAATATTTATAAATTAAATATTAATATTTTAAATAAGTTATCAATAAATAATATTTTTGTGACAATAGAAATAATTTATCATAAATCTAAAATATAATTTATATATTTTAAATATTTATGTATATTAATTTTAAATATAATATTTATTTATATTTAATTTCTTATAAAATTTAATTATATAATAAGCATGTCTGTATTACAAACTAAAATATTGGTTATATTATATGAGGGTAGTTTTAAAAGTTATTATTTAATTAAATTATTTTTAGGAGTTTTCTTTACAAAAATTTGTTTTAGAAAATTTTTCTTAATCTTTTATTTTTTAATATATATTTTCATTTATAATTTTAAATTCAATTTTCATATTTTTAAAAAATAAATTGTCAATAGGTTAAAATAACCACGTATCACAGTATAAATTATTTATTATAAATTTAAAACATAATTTATATGTTTAAAAGTGTTTATTTATTATAAATTTTAATATAATATAATTTATATATTAAAATATTTATTAATTAAATTTAAATTAGATAAAATAAATATTTATCACGCCATACATAATAAAATACAGTTAGCTAAAAGTTGAAAAGTTAATTAGGAACTGAAAGCTAATAAAATGGAAAAATTATGAAGAAGAAAATGGTTAATAATCACTTTATTTTTAATATATTTTATTATTAATTAAATGAATTTTACTTTCTCTTTTTTAAATAAAAATCTTATATCTATTTTTCTAATCAACCCATATGTAATTTACTTTCATAACTGATACATTAAAAGAAAATGAAGTGTGTGAATAAATATTTTGGTAGCATTTATTGATACACAATTCATGTGTATGCCAGTAGTTTGCATGTGATAGAGAGCTTGTTTTGTTCTTCTTTTCTGGAATAGGGGGTTTGTATATACAACATGTGATTCTTTGCAACATTTTTTTTCAATGAAAAAGAATATAACCCGTGACCTTAAATTGTTTTAGGTTCACACACCCTCCACGATAAAGGTTTGATCCTTCATTGGGATTTCAAATATAGCTCTGTATTAGCCAAATTGGAAATGAGCACGAGCCTTTGTCTTGTTCACAATTCCCATCATTACTTTTTTTCTTTTTAATCTTCCTATAGAATAAAATGGGTACTTACTAAATTATATATACAATGTTAAAAACCTCTATCTTGTATTAAAAATATATTTAAAAAAGTGTGTGATGGAATATAATATTACATATGTTGTCAAATTTTTCATGTGCAAAATTTTTAAAAGAAATATTTGATGCAGTAGTGTATGATACATTAGTGAGAAATCTCGTATAAATCTAGTATTTATATCACCAACCTAATATGCTACACATTTTAAGATCATGGGAACTTGACACCCCTAACTAATAATCTTTACCAATTTTCATGAGTTGGTAAGATGCCAAACATATCTTATAACAAATGAAAATGAAAATTTGGCATATCATTTCTGTTTCTAGTATTGGATTTTTAGGCATTAATGACATCATCCCCATTTAACTCTCCCCACCAAACCTAATGCTTTAGCTAAATTTTGAAACAATTTAATAATATTAATCTAATTTTGTACCCTTTTGCAGATTTGATGCAAAAAACTTTTTGACAAAACTTAAGGGAAAACAGATAATGTTTGTAGGAGATTCAGTGAGTTTGAACCAATGGCAATCGCTTATGTGCTTGCTTCATTCTTTTGTGCCACAAGCTCAAATATTAGAGCAACAAATCGATAAAACCGTGTCCATGACTAACTTCACATTCAAGGTATAAAACCCTCTTTCACATTTGTGGTCTATTTCTACCTAAATCTTGAAGCAATTACAACTACAATTACAATTCCTCTGTAGGACTATGGAGTTTCAGTGATTGTTTATCACACAACATATTTGGTTGACATTGTTGAGGAGAAAATTGGTCGAGTCCTCAAGCTTGATTCTCTTAAGAGTGGAAGCATATGGAAAAACATGGATGTTTTGGTTTTCAACACTTGGCTATGGTGGTACCGTAGTGGACCCAAGCAACCGTAGGGTTTCTTAAAAATCATTTGATTTGTGCACCAAAAATTGTGATTATGACAATAAGTTAATAACTAGCAAGTAAAATGTGGCCATTTTGTGTTGTAGATGGGATTATATTCAAGTGGGTGACAAAATAGTGAAAGACATGGATCGCATGGAAGCTTTTAGACATGGTTTGAAAACATGGGCTAAATGGGTCGATGCAGAGGTGGATACAACCAAAACCCAAGTTCTTTTCCAAGGAATTTCTCCCTTCCATTATCAGTAAGTTCAAAAAAAATTTCTCGTTAATAAATTAGTTAGCATGTAATGTCTTCAAGAGACATGCTACAAGACTTTTTTTTTTTATAGTTAATGACAAAGTTTTCCCTTGAAATTGAACCATGTTATATTAGTTTTTGAACAGTCTTTAAAATTTAAAAAAAAATAATAATAATAAACAACTCAATTAAGTCCTTAAACTTTTTAAAATTTCATTGAAGTCTCTAAAATTGACCACTTTTTTATTTTGGTCCTAATCATATGTTGTTATTATTATTATTAGAGTTAATCACCTATACACTGTCAGTGTAAAATTTTTTACACTTACAACCAGTGGTATCTTTTAGTTTTACCATTTCACTATAAGCACGTTTACTTTTAACATTTACATTACACAATTAAAATATATAATTTGTGACTAGTATAAAAAAACTTTATACTGGCAGTGTATAGATGATTAACTCTTATTATTATTACTTAAAAGAAGTCCATTAAAAGAGTTATAGATTTTAATGAAGTCCTATAAAATTGAAGACTTTTTTTATATCTTTATTAATTTAAGGAAATATAACAAGGTATAAATTTAAGAACTCAATTGATTATTTACCTAATTAATTTTGTTAAAAAGTGTGTTATTAACATTTTTTTTTAATTCTAATTGGTGTCCAATTTTTTCTCCTACTCCTTTTATAGTGGCAGTGAATGGAATGAACCAGGAGTGACAAATTGTGCAAAGGAGACACTGCCACTAAATGGATCAACTTACCCAGGTGGATCGCCACCAGCATTATTAGTAGTGGAAGATGTGTTGAAGACTATAACCAAGCCTGTTCATTTTTTTAACATTACAACTCTCTCACAGTTGAGAAAAGATGCACATCCTGGTCCGTACAATGACTTTAGAAGCATGGATTGCACTCATTGGTGTGTGCCAGGCTTGCCAGATACATGGAATACACTCTTGTCCGCTGTAATCACAAAATAGATGTAAACATTTATTTGCGCAAAGTTATGAATTTTAGGAGAAAATAATCAATTCTCTAATCAATCATATTTTTTTTCTTAGTTACAACTTAACTTATTCAATATTAAAAGGGGAGAGAAAGATCTTCGAAAATTGGTAAATAGTGCAAACAAAAATCTATGCGGCAACTATCATCACATTTCCTACAAATATAGGTAGGAGAAAGTTATTTAATCATTATTAAAAAGAAGAAATATGATTGTTTTAACAATGTGATGGTCTTAATCCTATAATTAATCATTACTATCGTCATTGAAACTAAATGATTATATTCTAATATAAAATCTTACTAAATAATTAAAACTCTATGATAAAGACAAACTATAATCATACTAAATAATTTTTAAGATTACTTTGGATATTTAGAAAAATATAATACTTTATTCATTTGTTATTATTTAAATTAAAGGTGAAACATACAAATTAGTCTATATAAGTATTGGATATTCTCAATTCAGTTTTGTGTCCTATATATGTACAAATTTTAGTGATTTAATCTTTGTCATAGTTAACTCTCTTACATATCTTAATTTTGTTCTTATATACGTAATGCATTTTAAATTTGGTTGATATATGCGCACTGCATTTATAATTTGGTTGTTATATAAAAACTAAATTACAAATGTATTATATAGAGACCAATTTAAGAATATTATGTGTATAAGGACTAAATTAAGAATGTGTTAAGGAATTAACTATCATCATAAGAGGATAATGACTAAACGATATCAATTGTATGTGTAGAGAGCAAATTAATAAGTTTTTATGTATTAGGATTTGTACTCTTTAGGCTGCCTTAATACTAACCTTCTAAACCATACCCTATGCATCCCGATAATTGAGCATATCTTGGTAGGTTGCTATTTATGTAATTAAACATACATCTTGAGTATATCTTAGCATTCGAAGACTTGTCCTACTACACAGGAAGAGCGACGTAATTTAGGAATAAAAAAGGATATTTGTGGAATGTGGTTATTAATGGTATTTAAAAGATAAGATTAGGGAGCACTAGGTTACAATCAATCATGAATATGGGAGTGAAAGATAATGGATTTTGATTGGGAGGTGCATTTAACATATATAGGAATAGGGATGGCAACGAGGCGGGGCGGGTACGGGTTTCATGATACCCGTTCTTGTCTCCGCGACTCAAATCCATCTCCTTCCCTGTCCTCGTACTCATTGGGTATGTAATTTTTGTTTCCATTCCCGTCCCCGACAAGTATCGGGTATACCTGTACCCGTACCCGTGAAAAAATTGATTTTTTTTACAAAAACAATATATATTTTTAACTTATCTTTACAATGATAATTGGGTCCTTTGTCTATATCATATTTTAATCAAGAGACATCTTAATAATTAAATAACCACAAATATTTCACATCATAAAAAATAACCACAAATAATTAAAATCTTACAAATTAAATAACCACAAATGTTGAGTAATGTCACAAATAAACAACCACAATGTTGAGTTAAAATAACAAAATAAATTGAAATTTCTCAAATAAAAAATAGAATTTATCTTGCAAGTGAAAAATGTTGAGTAATGTCATTATGCTTCAATCCACCTATCATAAGACAATTTATAAAAAATTAGAATTGATTTATGAATGAAAATTTTAAAAATTAGAATTGAAAAATTAGATTGGACTAATGAAATTGAAATTCAATTACAACATCTATTAATTTTGCACATCTTCAGTAATTCCACTTGCATGCAATCCACCTGCATACAAAAGAGATAAACTTTAGATATGATAAATCAAATTGAAAATTTGTAATATTAAAATATAATATACTTTCATCATCAGATTCACTTTCACTCATTAAAGTAATTTTTTCTTTAGTGGCTTTAGCACCTACAAACATCAAATATTAATTAGAATTGATACTTAATTACTAATTGACCATTAATGCTAATTTATTTTTTTTATTAATTTACCTAGATAGTTTGAGTTTCATAGCCAACTTTTAGTACACATCAAAGCTTTTACGGTAGTATGATTAAGTCGACTACGATTAGGACTTAATATCTGATCGCCAGCACTAAAAGTAGATTCAGAAGCTACAGTAGTGATTGGAATGGCTAAAACATCCCTTGCAATTGCTTGAAGTATTGGATACTTCAACCCATTTGTTTTCCACCATGATAAGATATCAAAATCTGATGTAATAGGTAAATTATCTTCCTCCAAGTAATGATCCAACTCTATTTTCATAGATGAAGTTCTAGCTTTTTTCTTTTTTGCCATGAACTTTACAAAATCACTCATGCCATTATCACCAACATTTCCCTCCTCAAATGATGAAAACCCAGAAGAAGACCCATCATTCTTCTTTACTTGATATTTAGAAACCAAATCATTACACAATTGACGGAATCTACTAATTTCCAAATCACAATCAATATCATACAATATATCAAAATAATATTCAAGCAAATCCATTTTGTACCTTGGATCTAAACTAGAAGCTACTCTCATGATATCATGAACGACACTCCAATAACTTTCAAATTTCTTTAACATTTGTTCTGCCATATTGTGAATGATTTGATTAGGAGAGTTTACCCATTCATCTATTGCAAGTTTGATCTCACAAATCTTTGGGGGAAAAATGTTGGCAGTTGGATATTTGGATCCAGAAATTATTTCTGTGATATCATTAAACATTCTCAATCTCCCACAAACATCTTTTGCAAACTCCCATTGTGATTCAGTTGGCAAACAAGTGTATTGAGATTCACGCTACTTTAATCGAAAAAACACATCCTTATAACACAAAGCAATATCAAGCATCTTAAAAGTGGAATTCAATCTTGTTGGACAATCTAAAGTTAATTTTTTGTTGAAAGGAATTCGCAAATGTTTAGCTGTTTCTTTAAATTTTTCTACCCTCTTAGGTGTTGTTGTCCAATATGCTACACTTTCCCGAATTTTTTCCACGCCTTCTTTTACAACTCCCAACCCTTCTTTCACAATCAAATTGAGGATATGTGCAGATAAGGATGGCAAAAATACCCGCACCCGCGGGTAAAATTTGCTACGGATAATAAATGGATAGGCTAATTGGATACCCACGGATAATGGGGACGGATAATTTTTTACCCGTTTATAAATGGGGCTGGGGTGGTTATGATGATATCCATACCCGCGGGTACCCGTTTAATAATATTTCTTAAATATTCTAATTATTCTTGTACCACATAACCATAAAACTACACTCTCTCGTCTTATTTTCTTACAAAAGTGAGGTTGATGAAGTTACCAACATGTGTTAAGCATGTTATAGAATTATGTTGGATATAATTTGATTAATTTTCTAGCTTTGATTTGACCAATAAAATTTATGTATTTTAAGTTGTTTACTTTCGTTTAGAATTATGAGATTGAATTATTGTAGCTTTGTGATGAGACTTTAACTTACTTGTGAGATTGATGTATTTTAAGTCATTGATTATCTTACATTTTTATTATTATTTCAACAAAATTAACGTTAAATACAAGTTCAAAATTAACATTGAACTTTTATTTTTAATATTTCAATGACATTAAATATATACTTAAAATTATTTGAATATAATTTTTTTAATTTTTTAAAAATTTATAAATATCCATGGATATCCGTGGGTATTCAAGAAATTCATGGATACCCGCTCAATGGATACCCGCGCGGATATGGGATGGGTATGGGGACAATTTTCATCTAGCGGGGCGGGGGCAGATTTACTATTACCCGCCCCCATGGAGCTCCATTGCCATCCCTATATGCAGAGCAACGCATATGAAGCAAAGATTCATTATGAATGTCTATCTAACTACAACTTATCCTTAATTTTCTCAACCATGCTATCATTTGTGCTACAATTGTCCAAAGTAATAGTGGATAATTTTGTATCAATATTCCAATCTAACAAAAAATCAATCAATACATTGCAAAGTCTATCAGCTGTGTAGTAACCCAATTTCGTACAGAAAATATCAATGTTTTTTTTTAAAAAAATAGCAAAAAAGGTATATACAAGAAAAATAAAAAAGACAAAATATGGAAGCCAAATGTAACACCTCATTTTTTATATTTTTATGGAGAGCAATTTAGTAATTTTCATATGATTTTAGTAGCCCAGAACAGGGCGTTCTCAAACTGGAACGGGCCGTTCTCAAACTGGAACGGGTCGTTTCAACCTTCCAAAAAGACCTAAAATTTCTAACCTGGAACGGGCCGTTCCTAAACTGGAACAGGCCATTCCAACCTAACAAAAAGACCTATAAATTCTAGTCCAGAACGGGCCGTTCCCAAACTGGAACGGGCCGTTCCAACCTTCCAAAAAGGCTTATATTTTCTAGCCCGGAACAGGGCTGTTCCAAGATATTAAAAAGAACTATAATTTCTAGCCCGGAACGGGCCATTCCCAAACTACCAAAATACCTCTATATTCTAGCCTAGAATGGGTCGTTCCCAAACTGGAACAGGCCGTTCCAAATATGGCCATTGTGAGTAAAATTGCAACCCTAGAACAGGCCATTCCGGATTCAGAACGGGTCATTCCGGTCACTCCTGAAAGTCTATAAATAGCGGCCCTTGGCCTTCCCCCACACACATCTCCACTTTTGACTAAAGGGAGCCCAGAGGAAGAGACCAACAAGTTACCACTTCTTGAGCGAAGAATAGTGAGTATATCGAACTCACTTCTTTTTATTATTATTATTATTATTTTTACATTAGTAATACCTGTCATTTTAAAAAAGATTATTTGTGATCTTAAAGTCTTATTTAAATTCAAAATGTGATTAAATATCAAATATAGAGTTACAATATTTAATATAAATATATGAAATTATTGTATCAAAAATTTTATTGGAGGAATGGTTTAAAAATTTTTTTATTGGAGGAATGGTTAATTAGATGTGACATCTTTTTAACCTTTGAATTTAAAGTACAAGTTGTGACAACTTATCTTTAAATTTTTTCTCCAAAAACAAAAATGCCCAACCGAGAAATTTTTTAAGATCATAACATC